AACCATATGGAAGGAGATTTACAGATGCTCCTCTGCCCATCCCCCTTACGGCCACACCCAGTCACGTGTCAGATGAAGTTGATGATGATGATGATGATGAAATCTAGCATAGGTACATGTCATGCAGCCGTTTCGTTTACTCCGGCACGAGGCCAAAAATTCTGTTAAAATATGTGAAAAGTATGCATATAAGGGTTGCATGTCCCCCTTTCGTTCTGTATGTCTCGAGATATCTCGTCACTGTTATTGTACGCACTATGTCACCAAAAATTACCAATTAGTCGATTAGGATAATATCATAAGACAATATATTTTAAGACATTTTTTTATATTTATACATTCTTGTTATAGTTACAAATATTTAAGTAAATGCTCTGTTTATAATAAACAGTATTAAACAACATTTACCAGCCTGAATGTCCGAGAAATTTTCATAGAAAATATTCGTCCTCCGACAGGATTCGAACCTGTATCCTATACGGAACCATCATTTAGCTTAACGTGCCTTTAACCGATTTGGCCACAAAGGCGCGTTCGGCTAGCAAGGTCGAATTTACTTTTAAAAATAAAAAAATGAAACAAAAGGCACAGGAAATACAAAATCATTTCACAACACCCTTATTCCCCCAGCCGGTGCCATTTATAAATGTTTTTACATAACATGTCTTAAAATAATTGTCGGACTTTGTCCATTTCATAATATATATATATATATATATATATATATATATATATATATATATAAAAAATATAGAAAATAGGAAGGAACTGGTTAGGTAAATAATCCAAAAGTCCCTTAGTATTTTAGTTATTATTTTTTAAAAAATAGTGCTCGATACAAAAGTAGAGCATAAATATAATAATTTATTTAAAAATATGATTCCAAATCGCGACAAAAAAAAATTTCGCTTGAAGATGGAACAGAGCTTATTTTAACTCAATTTAATTTAAATAATTTAAATAATTATATTGAAGTTTTCGGCTCTTGTTTTGAAACATGGGACTTCTTATGTCGCGATTTGGAATCATATTTTTAAATAAATAATTATATATATATATATATATATATATATATATATGTGTGTGTGTGTGTGCGTCTGTGTGTGTGTGTGTGTGTGTATGTGTGTGTGTGTGTGTGTTATTTCAATGTGATTTTATCGACTGGGTCATGTGTTCTTAAGGAGTTGAGTTAAACGAAGATAACAGAGACACCCGTAAAAGGCAAGGCACGTCCAAATGGAACACTCTACCTCGATGGACGAAACAGAGGTTTCAGTACGAAATTCCAAGCACCTGAAGAAGACCGGAGTGTACAATGGCCGAAACGTCGTAAATATATCAATAAAGATCAGGACAACAGTCCGAATAATGTAAATAATTACAGTACTACTTCTCAGGAATATAGACACCTATGTTCCTGTGTCATAAATCGATGAACTTGTGTCCCAAGTAACGAAAATAGCATTAATTTGTTTTAGTTATTGAAAAAAGTCAGCTACCAAACCGGAAATTTAGCTTTACCCTATACACAATAAGAATAAAAATCAAAATATTTCAGAAGTTTTATTTCTCAATATGCTAATTATGACATTGGAAGACCGTATATATTTTTTATGCATTTAATAGTTTATAGAATAACATAATAACATACAAATAATGCCCCTGTCTATATTTCGGCCGTTATACGCTCCGGCCTTCTTCAGGTGGTTGGAATATTGAACTGAACTCTATATTTCGCAAACTGGGATAGACTGTTCTAGTTCCACGTGCCATTTTAATGGATGTCAGTTATCAGTTATTTCCTGTTAATGCCCCTCTCCAAGTTCTCCACTGCCTTAACCGGATATTGAACTCACACTCTTTGGGTCCTGTCACTGGATCTAACCAACGCCTTTATTCGCTGTGCCATGTGTCCTAATTTAAATAATGTTCCCCTTTCTACTTTGCATGTCTCGTGACATCTCGTCTCGTTTCTTTAAAACTGCACCGTTATTGTACGCACAATTTTCCACAGAGTCTAAGTGAATTTTACTCAGTACAACCATTGATCTCACGATTAATATGTCGCCAAAATTGCCAATTAACACTTCAGTCGATTAGGATAATATCATGAGCCAATATATATATATATATATATATATATATATATATATATATATATATATATATATATATATATATATATATATATATATAAAAAGAAACCAAAAATGTTTTTGGCTATAATGGGAATTTCTTTATAGAGATTTTCCAACCATAAGCTTAGATGTGGCACAAGGCCGAAAGTATGGGGCACCTAGTGATGATCGAACTCACTACTCAGCCGTAATTGTTCCAACTGTTTTTTTTTTCAACGTCCTCTCCCAGCACTGTCACACACTTTTCCCATCTGTGCTCAAGCTTCCGTATTCCCTCAGCGTAAAAATCTTTGGACTGATGTCTCAGCCAGTCGCTCACAACACTTTTGACTTCATCATCACTTTTAAACTTCGTGCCTCTCGTGAACGCTTTCAAGGGACCAAACAGGTGAAAGTCTGAAGGGGGTAAGGTCTGGGCTTTAAGGGGGATGAGGGAGCAGTTCCCAGCCCAGCTCGTTAATGGTCTGCACCGTTTGGGCTGCTGCGTTGTCATGATACAAGATGACTCCTTCTGACTGATGACCCCTGCGTTTGTTCTTTATGTCTTTCTTGGCCTGCCTCAGCAGTTCACAGTAGTTCTTCTGTCAAACTGAATGAGGTCATTGACTGATTCGATCACCTCAGGAGACCTCACTTCTGTACGCCTCCCAGGCTTGTCTTCATCCTCAACACTGCTCCGTCCTTCTTTAAACAATTTAGCCCACTTGTAGACATTTTTTGGCTGAAACATGTGGCACCATACACAGTTGACATTCTCCTATGAATTTCAACTGGTTTGCATCCTTCAGCAACCAAAAACTTGATAACTGACCGCTGTTCAATCCTAGAGCATGCTTCTTGGTCGGCCATCTTTGTTAATCGCCAAAACTCTCAAAGATTTTTTTTAATCTGCAAAAGAAATTAAATCCATGTGAAAAAGAAGTAAAACGAAAAAAAAAATAAAAAAGTAAGTTCTATCTGTATTAGAAGTCCTTATACCGAAAAATTCACCCTATTTATTGAATGACACTCGTATTATACTTTATTTTCCATATTTTTTGCTATACGGGTTTCGGGTCTTGTGACCTTTATCAAGCAAAGAATTGCTTATTTCCACATATCTTCTATATTTCTGACGAATTTTAATTGCTTTATTTCTTCTTAAGCAAAGAAATATTTTAATCCCAATCCAAGTAGAACTTGAATTTCTACTACAAACAAAAGACAAACGTTACACATAAGAAGACATAAGGAAAAAATCCTTTAAATAATGCGTGGAAAGAACCATTTTTCGCGAGATGAAGTTCAAAGGTCATTATGGAACAAACACCCAAGAGACTGCTTTTTTGGCCACTACGATTCTAGCCTCTTCATGTCTGGAAGCTTAAAGCCATATAATATTGAAACACTGAAATTAAAGAACGTCGAGCTTGATCAGTACCTAAAAGTGTGATATCTTGGTAATGCGAGGTGTTGTTACCTTGGATGTGCAGGTGGTGTAACGGATACGGCACGGAATTGGAAGTGGAAGATCCTAGTTCAAATTCCTTCCGGTTCGTTATATTTATACTTTTGGGAAAGGCATGAATATACCTCTTCTCCCCCAAGCTATGGGTTAATTAATAGCACTTTTATTAGTAAATTATTTTTATCTCCAAAAAATTCTTACAATTTAAAAATAGCTTCTAGCTTTAGATTAGCTGCAAACAATCCGTAAAAAATCAAATCAATGAATCATGTCAACCGTTATATATCCTACATATCCTCGTAACCTTCATCTATTACTTCTTTACATCAATCCCATTGATTAACACTCTATATTGAGTGGCTCTTACCCTTGTATTGGGTGAAATATAGTATTACAAGAGAACTGAATCAGATTGCATAACCCTAGAACAATAACCACCAATTAAAGTTACACCACTCCTAACCATGGGTATATCAGACCCGATTTTGAAAATATCAAAAAAAAATATTAAATATAAATCTTTATTTGAAATATTTACATGCAGCCACTTCAGACTTTGTACTTTGAGTTAACATTAATAGGAACTGAAAAGCATATTATTTAGGTAAGAAAATCATGTACTAAATTGTAATTAAAAATAGGGTAATTTACGCTGGGTACTATGTACCCATGGTTAGTATTCTAGGGTTAAAACAGTAAAAATGATGATCTCATAGATCCCAGGTCTAATCTTAGATATAATATATAATAATATAAAAGATATAATATATAATAGTTATCCCAGGTCTAATCTTAGATATAATATATAATAATATAAAAGATATAATATATAATAGTTATCCCAGGTCTAATCTTAGATATAATATGGCGACGGAATACAGAACAAGACTTATTTTCTGGTCGAACCCCTGGCAGCAAACACCCTGCATGCGAATAGAAAATGAGTTTAGCAGATGCACAAAAATAGGGAGGGTTACAAGAAAATCGTCTCCCCTCAACGGGCTTGTTCAATCTATACAGTGAAGCATTTCTGAGAGAATCAGATATCTCTAACAACATATACTCCGATAACACGCTCTTGACAACAGAAACTATAAAAAGCTCCGACAGAACTTAGCAAAGGAAAGGTAGGATTATATATAAACTACAAGAAAACAGAATGCATGGTTATCAGCAAAAAGGCGAGTCCAAAATGCAAATTACAAATCGAGGAAACTAAAAACAAACAAGTACAAAAATTTAAATGTATCTGGGAAGTGTTCTGACAGAGGAGGAAAACTGTGACACTGAAATCCGAAGACGTATTAGAATGGCAAAAAGCTAAGCAGCCTATTAAGAGAAGGAAGAAATTCGTCAGAGACAAAGAAAAAATTATTGAAATTTGAAGTTCGTATAAAGGACTCAGAGCTACACCACGTTAAAACACCGGTTCTGGTACGCTCACAGAAATTAAGCAACATTGAGTCGGGTCAGTACCTAGATGGGTAACCGTTTGGGAATACCTGGTGCTGTAATCTCGTGTGAACAGGTGGTGTAATGAATGGCTCGGAATTGCTAATCGGAGAGAATTGGAAATCCTACCAGGATTAAAGTACACAATCTTAAGGGTATAAGATATACAGCTGACACAGTGTCGATAGCAGACAATGAAATTTTACTACAAAAGCTCCTACTGAAATAGCGAAGGAAATCAAGAAGAAAGAAATATAGTTCTTTCTTTTTAAACTTCTTTCTTCTAAACAACAAGAATGCATAGTTATCAGCAAAAGGATGGCCTCCCAAAATGGAAATTACAAATTGGAGATACTAAAATCAAACGAGTACAAAAATTTAAATATATCTGGGAAGTGTTCTGACAGAGGATGGAAATTGTGACACTGAAATCCGAAGACGTATTAGGATGGCCAAAAGCTAAGCAGCGTATTAAGAAAAGGAAGAAATTCGTTACAAAGAAAAGTGTATAGAACTGTTACGAGATATCTATCCTATAGTATGGCAGCGAATGCCGGACAATCTTCTCAAAGAAGTTGATATGTTTGACACGCAGACTCACTCTACATCTTTCTGACAATAGCTCAATTAGATCTCATTTAAATATTCATGGAGACCTACCGGACACTATTCGTAACACACTTGTTGACAACACAAATATAATAGCATCATCTACATGGAAAAAAAAAGGCTAAAAATAATGGAAGCCTTATTAATAAAAGCAAACAAACCAACGCTTGATAATATTAACTTTGAACATGAACAAAATATCTTGACCGTGTTTTGAAAAATGACAACATTTTATAAAACATACATGCAACAAGTTATTTCTTATTTTAACAGTTAAAATATAATCCTTGAAATTGCCAAATGTATAGCCGAAAGCGCTCGGATAAAAAGAACAGTCGGATTGTTTTTATATAATTTATCATCCGGAAAGAAAAAAATATTAGATCGCATGAGAAATTGTATAAAAAAAACTAAATAAAAGGACCTTGTCTGTCGTTTTCAATCAAATGTGCATGGAAGAAGAATTGCCGCATAAATACACAAATATATATATATATATATATATATATATATATATATATATATATATATATATATATATATATATATAAGATATGTCATTGGAGAAACATTTATAAATTTTAGGGTTAGTAATATTCAAAATTCAAAACACCGTATGGCAACAGCATTCATTGCACGAACGAATGGTAGATTTATTAATGTGCTAGATGGACTCTGGTGAGAAAAAAACTTCTGGCACAACACAGTGATCCAAAATTTCCTTGCAGTAGATGAAGCTATTGATTCAGTGTTGTCGTTCCACTTCAAGCCAGTTGAACACATATGGCCAATTTTGGATGTACTTTTTCAAGAGCAGCGACCAGGTTAACTTTGTCAGCACTTGGCGAATTTGCTATCGAGACAGGAAATAACTGGTTGTGTCATCAGCATAAATGCCTACTTGGGAATTGGTGACATCAGGAAGATCAAAGTGTAGTATATGTTTTTGATCAGCTTAATCTGATTCTTTCTGTTCACTTCTATCTTCCGTTTTTTTCTTTCATTTTCGCAATGAAACAAATTAGAGTCTTTCCCCGCTTTCCCGCGCGATCAAAACAAAATGGTCCATTATTTATGAGGTGTTGGCAGGGCATATTGGTCGCGCGAGCAAACGCAAGGACGGACAAGCAATATAATGATTATAATAAGAATCAAACAGCCGGTCGAATTCCAGTCGGATCTATTACATTCACTTATACCCTTGGGAAAGATATTAATCCTCTTCTTCTTCTTCTTCCCCACCCCCAACTATGGCTAAATAGCAGGACAGGTTGGGTTCTATAGCCTTGGGTGGCAACTGGTCTAGGAGAAGGAAAAACTCCGAATTCAAAACTGTATGTAGCCCTAGCATAGCACATATTATACAGCTAAAGAAAGGATCGTTCCCATTGGCTCGATGCTTCTGACTACGGTCGAGTGATTATGAGGATATTTATGATAGGATGATTTATTTATATATAAAAAAAAACATACCAGGTTCATGTATAGTGAACTGGAGGACATCTGCATTAATGTCGCCTTAGATAAAATGTGTTAATTAAATATGAAAAACACTTCAATTGACTCAATGTTTCATGCGTAGAATACACGGGTAACAGACGCACATTATAAGCTGGACATTGTAAGATATTTACGCGATTTTAAAATGGCTAGAATCATTTACGCCGTACTGTATTTTTTTTTATTTTATTTTATTTTATTTATTTTATTTTTTTGAGGCTGCTCCTAACCTAAATTTGAGTTGAATATAATAAATTCATATTATATATTATGCACAAGGAAAAATAAATTATTCTTACACATATATTCCATAAGAGATAGAAGAAAAAATAACGCACAGATGTTTTGGACACATGTCAATAAACAATGTTCAATATTGAATAACTTTTCCATCATTTGATATGTCGACTGTCAGACGATTGGAATAATTTAAAGTAAACTTCTTAAAGAAATTAATACCAATTCTATGACCACTTGTTTTGTTGTCACCCGAATTCTGAAGAACTTAACTTCATTCTGCCTCCCTAGATTCCTTGCCTGTAGGATTTGGGATATAGACCTGATTCGGCTTTTTCACATCCTTTTCTTCCCTAACAAATACTCCTGGTTAAATGTACGTTACATGGAAAAATTTATTTTTAATTTTAAAAAATGACAGCTGTCAACCAGGGAAGATATACTCTTCTTCTTTCTTTCTTTCTTTCTTTCTTTCTTTCTTTCTTTAATTCTTTCTTTCTTTCTTTCTTTCTTATTGTTGAAACTTGACTAATGCATGGAATAATAATGCAACACAAAATGTACTTGAACAAAATGTATTGAAACAAGAAAGTGTACACAATATTTACATATAGTCTTTTGTATATTCCTGGGAAGACCGTTCCTGGAGAATGTGTTGACTGAGTCGCAGTCGGGCAGAGTCTCTGGATTGAATCTCTTGATTCCCCACTCTCTTCCCGGTACCTACCATATTTATATGGTCGGTACTCAACTATGCAAATTAGGTGGATCCTACCACAACACTTATTCTTTTATTCTTTTTCCTTCCTTTCTTTCTTTCTTTCTTTCTTTCTTTCTTTCTTCTTCATTTCTGTCTTTCTTCCTCTTCCTTCTTCTTTCTTTCTTAATTTCTTTCTTTCTTCTTTCTTCATTTCTTCTTTCTTTCTTCTTTCATCTTTCTTTCTTTGTTCTCTCTTTTCCTTGTCTTCTTTTCCCTTTCCTTCTTTTTTCCTTTCTTTTTCTTCTGCTTCATTTCTGTCTTTCTTTCTCTTTCTTCTTCTACTTCTTATTTTTTTCTTCTTCTTTCTTTTTTCTTTTCTTCGTCTTCTTTCTTTATTCTTCTTCTTTCTTTTATTCTTCTTTTTTTCTTTTCTTTTTCTTGTTTCTTCTTCTTCTTACTTTCTTCATCTATTTATTTCTTCTTCTTTTCTTTCTTTTTTTTCTGTCTTTCTTTTTTTCTTTCTTTCTTCTTCTGTGTGCCGTGTCCCTTCAGGACGTAGGCAATCACGGCCCTCACATCTTCCTGTTTCTTGCAGAAGAGCAGAAAACGCTTGAATCTCTAAAACATTCGGACAATTTTTATATAATCACGCCCTGGAAAGAAAAAATTATACGAACACAAAAAAAAAAAAAACATGTAAAAATTAAACACAGAACTTTTTTCAGTCGTTTACGACGAAACATGCATAACAGAAGGATTGCTGCCTAAATACACAATTATTCATATATATATATATATATATATATATATATATATATATATATATATTCTGACCATAGCCCGTCTTTCTATACTTGACAACTACAATTTTGGCTACAACTTGCAGCACGCGAGAAGTCTTTTCCCCTCCACAACCTCTAACTCTCTTCATCTACATTTACAATCTCACTCCCCACCACGTCACATACTAGGAATAGCAGACGTGCCTAACGCTTTTACACCGATCAACATTTTAAATTTATGTTTATTTTCATAAAAAGTTTCGCACATCGAGGTAACAGATAGAGATCAAGATTTTGTTAAAAATAAGATTTCCAGTGGATAACACCCCTATCTACAAAAACATCTGAAGGTAATTCCTATTTCTCTGTTTATTCCTCGGTCCGTTGAAGAAGGACACAGGCGTCTCCGAAAGTTCCGAATTTAAAATCTTTCTCACCATGCTTCATTTCTGTCACATGATTAATAATTAATAATTTTTTATCGTACTGATTACATTGGTACCCTTTCGTTCGTCCTTGTTTTATTAACTAACCTATCTATTTCATATATAAGAATAACACGTAGACAACTTTATATATATATATATATATATATACATATATATATATATATATATATCTTAAAACTTAAATTTTTATGTTAATATTTTGTTTTATAGATACAAATATTTAATTAAATGCTCTGTTAATAATAAACAGTATTAACAACATTTACTGGCCTGAATGTCCAAGAAATTGTCATAGAATATATGCGTCCTCCGACAGGAATCGAACCTGTATCCTATACGTAACCGTCATTTAGCCTGACGTGCTTTACCGATTTAACCACAGAGAAGAGTTTTGATTAGTATGGTCAATTTTACTGTTTTTAAACTACAATTTTCCATGATTTTCTCACGTACATTCATATCTGCTTGATGCGTATCCAAATGTAAACAAATGACATCACACATTATGAAATGGATAAAGTGAAATATATATATATATATATATATATATATATATATATATATATATATATATATATATATATACAGAGACAGACACAGAGACAGAGAGAGTGTGTGATAAAATTACAGCCTATTTTGCTACCATGGTTTCAAACTTTCGGAATCTTCAGGCGATTTTGTTCACTTGTTTCCTAAGACTTAATTATTAAACGTTTGACAGACATAAATGTCTGTTAAAAGATTGATATTTAATAAATGTCTCTCATACTGATTATATTGGTACAC